CCTGGCCCTCAGCCAGGGTCAACCGACCACACATGCCAAGTAGAACCATCTGAGAAAATGCAAATTTTTGTCAGAAAAGGTTTTTAGCGAAGTCCTTAGACGTATAAGCTGTCTCAGTTTCAGCTAAGGAAAGAAGGAGAAGAAAGGAAGGATGGTTTTGTTTTTGTATTTCATGCTGATGGATGTATTGTGAATAACTGGATAGGCTGAGTATCTTCTGTCTCATCAGTCTTCAAATAAAGGAGTTTTCTAATTCTGTCACTGTATACAGAATGTCTAAAATAAGGTCCTGGGTGCACCTGAATGTTAAATTGTGGAGCTCAAACTTTTATTTTGAACTCAAGCAAAATGTTCCATCAAACTACCATAGACGTTATGCTTCAGTGTGTAAATGTAACTTTTTTTTTTCCCCATAGTAAGTCATGGAGACAAACTGGCTTAACCATGATATTGCATTTCTAATATTAGATCTTTTTTTTTAGAGTACTGATGTCTTGTGATCCTATTTGATGATATGTGTGTGGAGTTGTTGGAAAGATTTTTGGTTTTTCTTAGATTATTTTGACAAAAACATCGGCTAAGGTGATTAACATTGCTCCGAGGAGTGTACGAGACCATGGTTGGACAGAGGACTGTGACATCTGTACCCCTGGAGTCTTGGCTGCTGGAGATTAATAGCATTCATTAGTTTGAGGTGGTTTTAGGTTCTTTTTCCTGTCTAAGTATCTGATTGTGAAGTATGATTCTTCTAGTGTGAAATGAGTTAGCATTAACCTAAGACTTTCTGATTACAGAAAGGCCTAAGTGTTCCTTAAAGGTTGAAATAGTAGGACTGTAATAGGCTGTGTGGCTAGAGATGTGCTGTGGAAAACATGAATTGCCTGGATTCTTCTTTTCTTTGAGCTGGGTTTTAAAAGTAAGAATGGAAGTACTGTTTGCTCGACTGCCTTGAGAACTACAAGTTTGCTGCCTTCTTGAAGAGCAAGTCAGAAGGGGATTACTTGAATATAAGGAGCCTAGAATAGAAAGAGGATTCCCAGCCCTATGGTGTGGTTTCTGCTTTCTGAAGCAGTGCTGAGGAATGCTATTCACAGTACTGGCTATTCAGAGTCGTAAGTTGTAGTAGGGGGAGAGCTGGGGGAGATGTGCTAATGAAATCCTGCTTAACTGTTCAACATCTCATCCTGCCTGAATCTTTATATATTGATTTCATTATTTCAATATTACTTTCTAATATTTATTTTAGGACAAGACCAGAGTTGTGTCTCCTATTATTGATGTAATTAATATGGACAACTTCCAGTACGTGGGGGCGTCAGCTGATTTAAAAGGCGGTATGTACCTGTACTGGAATACAAATTTAAAAAAAAAAAAAGGCATCAAGAATCGAAGCTCATAATCACTGCAGTTGTGGAATGGGCAGTTAACATACTGTTCTTCCCTTTCATATATCTAGTTTAAGTTCTATAGGTCAGTTGTTTCTAGGCTTGGATTTTAATTGGCCTTATTGTCTTCTGCTTTAAAACAGTTCATCTTTATTATACTAACTCTTACAAGTTTATGCTGCCTTTTTCCAATGTGCAGTACTCACTCCAATGGTTGTAGGATTCTGTAAATGTGTCAGAAGCCGTTTATGGCCAGAGCTCATGATTCTCTTTTTAGATAAGACAGACTTTAATTGCTCTCTAGCTTAGAAGCCCATCAGCAATGCAGTGCCTATGAGTTTTTTTCAAGATGCTGGTTTGCTTAAAAAATTAAACTCTTCTGAATAAGCTGAAAGCTTTGGAATGTGTTTAAAAAATAAATGTTTTTGTTAGCCATGATTTGTAATTGTGAAGAGAGTAACATGTGACCTTGAAAATTTGTAGTGTTTATACGTTTATAGTTACAAAATTTCCTGTTAAATTGAGTTTAGAAGTCCTAACTACTACAGTTTCACTATGTCTAGCTAGTGTAAACTGTTGACAGCAAATAGTAAAAAAGACTTGTGAAGCCCTCAAAAAAAATTTAAAAATTCCTCCCCTCACTTTCTTCACTGTAAGCAAGAATCTAGCATTTAAAATAGCTATTCTGTGTCCCCCCCCTTCCCCTCCCTTTTTTTTTTAATAATTGTTTCCACAACCCTTGAAATTTAACTGTCTGCACAAAGATTTAAGATGAGCCATGATATAGAAATTATGCAGTGCTGTTCCCACAGTATTTCAGATTTTCTGAATGGACTTTCTTGAATGAGGAAGGAAAAAACAATTTCAAGCATGTTCTGTGAGTTACTAATTTCTAAATGGCCACCAAGTCTTGTGCCAGTAAACTAAAATAAAAGCAATATTTGCATAATGTTAGATATGCTTCAATTTCCAGTCAGTGATGTGGAGGTGAGAGGTTCTATATCTTTTTAATGAACATTCTAAAATAACACCTACAGTGCATATATTCACAGTATGCTAATGTATAGTTCTCTGCTATTATCTGTGTGCCAGCTTTATTAAAACCTTAAGGCTTTTACCCAATCTATTCATTATGCCTTGAGTATGGAAATCTCTCTACCATTATGTGGCTTTTATTGTTGTCTGCAGTAGGAGGAGGAATTCTTTCATTGAAACCTTTGATTGGTTCCTGTGGGGTTCATGGTCTTTAATTCTTCCCAAGTGAAGTGGGAGAAGATTGAGAGATCATTTCACTTGTTACTGCTTTTTATACTTCATCTTTGGAACTACATTTCCCAATTTTTTTTTTTCTTTTTAGTGCTCATTTTCTCCCCTCATCCACAATAGAAATAGATTTTTTTTCTTGATTTTTTTTTTTAAAAGTCCGTGGAGCCTCCATACTCTGGACTGAGGAGTGAGAAGCCATCTTTTTTAACATTAACAATAGAAATTTTGTACATAGCAGTGTTTAAAGCTATTTGGGAGTCTGTTGAAACGCAAATAACGTATTTCTTTTCAGTTCCCAGAGGACAGATTACCCTGTTAGAGGTACTGCAGCATTTGGCATCACAGGACACTTTCACTGGGGCCAAGTCTAAAGGTGGAAGCCAAACTATGCTTTCAACCTTAGATACAGTATCTGCATGGCTGAAGCATGGAGAGTTGAGACAGCTGGGACAGCATTTGTGCCCGGTCTGCTTTGAAAGGACTTAATCACCCAAGACAACAAACTAGCAAATGCCACAAACTTTTTAAAGCAGACAGAGCTGAAATAATTCCCAAGTCTGGCCAATACTAAATCCATGCACTTCATGGTACAAATTTTTTTTTGAGGGAGGATTTGCAAAAGTGTTTATGCTGTCCTGAGAAACATTTGAATTACTGGAATAAACCGTAGTTAACTGAGATCTAATATTTTAGAGTATGCCTATGATGCAGTTTACACTGGATAGAATTTCATATTGGATATGCTCTTGTGTTTAAAAATACTCCTTTTACAGACTTACTGATATTATCTCATTGAGTGCAGATTTTTCCCAGAGTCAGTGAAAATGGAGACGAAAACCCAGTTTTTTTATGGGTAGACAATTTGTATGCTTGTTCAGAGTTTGTAAGAGTGCTGTGTTCCAAAAGAGACCCCTTGTGTTCACTGGAGTATATGTAACTCTATCTCTACCACTTCTGCCAGAGAGCAGTAGGTTTGTTTTGTTTTGTTTTTTTTTTCAAGTTCTCCCAGATGCAAGTAATTTTGCTGGGTATGTATGATGAAATGCAACTTTTTAATTGCATGCAAATATTGGAGCTCATTTTACTTTTCATGCTGGAGGCTTTGCAGTACTATTGATTGTAGACATTTTACTGTTTTGTGACTTGGAGTTTTGGAGTAGTTAGGTGGTCTTTCATTTTTACAGTGCAACACTTCATGAAATACACATGGAGAGAAAGAGTTGGCATGCATGCTGTAAAGACTGTTCAGGATAATTTCTGTACTGTGTGTGTGATAACTGTCTTGCGAGTTAAAATGAAAACAGTTTAGTTTTAAACTCTCCACATCAGTCATTACTATGCATGTTTACAGATGCAGGCAGACAGTTTGTAGGACTGTAATTGTTGTCTGTTTACCTTAGCTTTTCCCCCACTTCCCCACGAAATAATTGCTTTATCTTTATGATGGAGAAAGCAAGCTATTGATATCTGTGCACCAGAAATCCGGAAATCATTCATTACATGATTTCACAGGATCTCAATATGTAGTTTTTTAAAAGATGTTCATGCTTATGGGCATAACCCAGCTCAAAAAACTGTTAAGGAAGTGTTTCCTAGAGGAAGTTTGTCTTATACCAACTGTGTATTATTGCCTAAAGGAGGTAATTCAAATGGTAGTCAGGTAGACAGCTGCTCTAGGTGACCTATTGGTCTTGTCTGTTCTAGTGGTCTTTATGTGCTTCTGTGCTTAACTAACTAAAGGACCAGACCAGCTGTTGCTGTGTGTACACACACACATATATATGGACATACATAAGGGAAGTAAGATTTTGGTACTCTAGCGCTTGCCTCAGCTTTAAAAAATGAAACACTTAGAAGCATGCAGTAGGAAAGCAGGAAGTTAAACAAATGTTAATAAGTGGGAGCTACATAACCTGTTGTGACCTTCATGATAGAGAGCTCCTGCTGATAGAGCAGTACCAAGAGTACTGCATAAAGCCTATGTAAACATAAATATGTGATTGTTTGATAAGAGTTGAAATGCAGTTGTACAGTAAAGACTATAAGGAGCACTTGTAATGGCTGGAAGATCTTCATATGATGTTCTATTTAATGTAAGGATATGAGATGTTGGATTCATATATTAGGCTTTTGCTTTGTCACTTGTTGACTGGATTTCTTACTTTGTGTAATAGATGGCAACATGAGAAATCAAAGTTATTTTGTATTTGAGATTACTTTTTTAATTGACCTGTCAACTTTACCTTTCATCTGGATGCCTACTTGTTTGTTTTCTACCCAGAAATTTGTACGAGTTTAAATTTTTAATTTACAGTTCCCACTGTTTTCAGTCAACTTGATTACTAGAAGTTGAATGATGACCACAGTCTTTTTAACATTCTACTCTAATATTTTCTTCTTGAAGGCTTTGATTGGAACCTGGTGTTCAAGTGGGATTACATGACACCAGAGCAGAGAAGAGCACGGCAAGGAAATCCAGTTGCTCCCATAAAGTATGTCTGTACCACCACTTCTCCCTCTAATAGATTGTAGTTTGCAACTAAAAGTTAGAAATCATCTTCTCTGAGTCTGAAAGGGAATTTTTACTATAGCTTTCATTAATATTGAAATTTCATTCATATTTATGTAGCATTATGAGGCTCTCGGAAATAAATTGTATTTTAAAAAAAATACTTTAAAGCACCTTAGTAGATTATTTAGCCTTAGCAAAAAGTAGATGTTGTTTTATTTTAAGTTGGTATATTTTGAGGGCTAAAAATACAGCATCGGTTTTAATGTTTTATTGCTTGCATAACCTGTCACTCTTTGCATAAGCAACTTGTGAGCCAAATGGAGATACGGAAACTACCTCAGAAGGTGGTCATAGCACTGTATATGCCATAGAAATGTGTGCAGACGATGTTTGAAGTGATAGATGCAAAATTAGTTGCATTCGAAAGCATTGCAAATATTTTCAAGGAGGTATTAGCCTTGAGGTGCAAATAATAGTTACCTCCCAGTTCATGGTTCTATAAGTATTTAATTTTTCTTGTCTGTTTAGGACACCCATGATAGCTGGTGGGTTATTTGTGATGGACAAATCCTATTTTGAAGAACTAGGAAAGTATGACATGATGATGGATGTTTGGGGTGGAGAAAACTTAGGTATGTATGTTACTTACCTTCAGATCAGTCTTGAAAGAAAGCAGGTTTCATCATTGCCTTTACTGTCATGGTCTTCCTGATTTTGTGCAAAGAGGGTTATAACCAGGTGTAAATCTTCACATGCATTATCGGCAAAATCCAAAAGGTCATTTCAATGAAAGAATTAAAACAAGGTAGGTAAATGTGAGAGAATAAAAGTATTTGTTCATTAAGCAACAAAATTTGTTTGTAATGGAAGTTGACTGATAAAAAATTACTGGATATAGATAGACAGTTACATTAAAAAATGCTATCTTGTTTGAAAGTCACGTCCTCATATAAAGTTATTGATTAAAATACAGTAATGTTCAAATGCTTGCCACTTAAGGCATGTTTTAAGATGGTGAAATTTAATCGAGAACAGTAGAACACAGGAGTTCATGAGTTTAATGTTCTTACATACACCTTAAAAAATCAATTAAAACTTAGGTGACTGAAGAATAATCTATTTCTTAACTTTAATACTACTATACTGCCTGGCATCTAAACTTAGTGAGTTTTTTAATTCTATACACCTACTTTAGCCCTGTGAGATAATTATGGTTTAGAAGGCATTTTTGCTGTAATTCCTTATTTTCAGATGTGTGAGTGAGTGGAATTTAGGGAAGAGGGAAGAGAGGCTGAGAGAACTTGTGCTTTAGCCATTTCTTCTTTGACCTGGTGGTTAGGTCTGGCTTCAGTAGGGGTTTTTGGCTCTTTGCGTTACAGTATTGTACAAAGTTTTTCTCCAGTTAAGACCAGTATACTTTCATTAAAACAAAAAAGATTTGGGATGAGCGGAACTCTACAACTTCTCAAGACTTCTAGTCTGTCATTAATTTAGTTTTCTAGGGCAGAGATGCATCTCGGACATTGCAAGTAGTGTGTTTTAGGACCAGTTCTAAGGATGGAAACTTCTCTACTGCATGTGTGAGCTGCAAAATCCTAAAATACTTTGAACGTGTAAAAACCCAGGAGTATTTTGAGTTACTGAAATATGCATATGCATTGAGCATATTCTTGGCCTACAAGGAAATGTCTGCTGTATACAGCACACTGAGTATGGAGACATGGTAACCAAATGTTTAACACTCCTGTAAGGAACTTAAAGGCTGGAAGCAGCATCCTTACAGTCCAGTCTCTGACCTTCTTATGCAATACTCGAAGACACCTCTTTTGTATTTTGAACAATTACTTTCTGCGTTTCTGTTTGTTCACTGTTCTGGCTGTGTATTGCTAAATTGTATTAATATGAATATCATTTTTTAAATGTTCTGGAAGGTCATTGGATAAACTTCCCACAGCAATACTTGCATTCACTCTGAAAACCTCTTTTGCCACTAGAGCGCTTAAATATTTGATTAGCTGCAAGCATGTACTTGAGTGACGGAGTTTTTTTCTGAAAATCTAGCAGCTGGTTTTATGCTTTGATAATTGAGGCCTTGATAGCAGGAAAGGGCATGAGCAACAGCTCCTCACTCCAGGTGCATGCAAAGACTGCGTGCAAAAAGCTGTTTATGTTGCTCCTGCTGCAGTTCGTTCCTCCTCCTCCATGGGAAGGAGATGGAGACTTTGGGGTGCCTTTTCTCGGCTCCCTGAAAAGGCCAAGTCAGTCAGTACAGCAGACAGCTAATGATTTGTTCGTAGCTGCCAGACTAGCTGAAGATGAGTAAAAATTGCATGGTGTGTGATTTAATTCGCAATAAATGTCACGTACACCAGATACCGGAAATCTGTGACGTGCAGTTTAAAATTCAACATGCACACTCGTCAAGCCTCTTTACTCTCAAGTATATCTCTGAATCAGTGGCTCAATGTTACATGCAAATAACTTGCTAGATGAACTTGCAAAATAATTCTATACATTTTTCCTTCACTCATGTACAGAGCAGCTGTTATATGAGATTTTGTTCACATGTTAGTATAGTATCAACTTTACAAATTTCAAGATGTGCCTGCAGTATTTTGCCTAAATTAGCCAATAGTCAGCTCTTACTATGAAGATATGGTGCATTTTCAGATTATTGCTAAATGTGACATAACACATGCTTGCTGTACAAAATGTGGATCAAGGTTTGTTTGGTCTTATCTTGAATTGGTAAACTCAAATTCTCAGAGTCTTTACAATGCTTTTTGATAAGCACAGGAGGTACAGAGGTACACTGGAGAACTGGATGGACTATTAGAAAGTTTGGTTCAAATTTGAAAACCTAGACTTTTCTTAATTTTGCTAAAATCAGAGAGCAAGTAAGACATTGCCTGTGTTCTATATTGATGACACGCTACGATAAAAAGAGCAAATCTGTTACTGAGAAATGTAATGTAATCTCATACAACTGAAGAATGTTTGATGTAGTAACATTTCTTCTCCCACTGTCTGACTATGGCAAAAAAGTTGCCTTAAGGGAGTTTGTGGGGGTTTAAGTTTTAGTTGCTATACATTCCTTTTGCTTTAAAAATCCATGCAGGCTTTAGAAGACTGGTACATGTAAGAGTTAGTTTCTCCCTATTTACTAGTCTTTTGTCTTTCCCATAGAGCTATTTTCCATCATTTTCACTTTTTTGAGAATCTTCAGAATCTAAGGTGCTGGAAAGTATACATGTAGGTTTACATTTCTGGGAATTTGTTGAGGCAGAATTAATCAAATTAATGTACACAGTAGAGGGAGCTATGAATAATGAAAAAAGTTGACAGAAGGTGTTTCTAAATTACTCCTAAAACAAAAATACTTTTTCAGTGCCTACATACATTCAATAGATGACACTGACTTTTTGGATTAAACCTTCAAATGAATAATTTAAAAAAAGAGCGAGCTTCAAGCATACTGTATTGACCTTTATTTTTAACTAGAATCTCACTTTACCTCATTTCAGAGGCATGTATTTCCTCATAAATAAATCTAGTATTTAGATTTCAAGCATTTAGTCTGTACTTGCTTGTCTAACACAAAAGCCTTTATCTTTGATAGATCTCCCCTTCTTCTTTCACTAGGCTGTCCTCACTGCATCCCCTCATGCTGGACTAATAACTGTGTGAACTTTCTAGCAAAACTCCATATATAATACTTCAGGGTGGTACAAGACAACTATTATTCCCCTGCTTTCACAATTTGAGCTGTTTGGGACCAAATTTGAGCTAGATTTGGGAAAGCCTGAAGTCTTCTATGTGTAATTTATTCTAGTAGAAACATAGAAGTGCTTTTGTTAAACTTGTTTAATAGCAGCAGTGACTAGTCGTTTACTGTGATTCTCTCTTTGTTTGTTTTGTTTTCATTCTAAGCTCAAAATAAGAGGTGTAATACGGAAGTCAGTGCTGTGAAAGATGTACAGTGAGAATGTCATGTTCAGTTGCTTTAAAAGTTACTTTTGCCTATTGTCCCATGTTAATTCAACTGGAAAATCATGACTGTAAGTTGCTGGCAAAACCAATGTCATTAACATTTTTGGAGGATGATCTCTCTATAGTTTGGACTGTTGACTATCTAGGATTCATGAATATGCCTAATTGGTCCTGATGCAACAGAATTTATCACTGAAGTAAAACAAATAGGAAATGATCCTTGTAAAAGCAAAGACCATTCAGAAAAAAGGCAATTAACTTGCACTGTCAATGGTTGAAATCACAACCTCTTTCTCCCCCCACCCTCCTTTTTCCTTTTTCTCTGTCCAGACCATCAAGAAGACAAGCTCTCTAATCTTTGGGTTTTTTGTTTGGTTTAAAATTTAATTTTTGAAGTAATGCTGGTTTTATGACTTATTATGTGTATGTGGGAGGAAAGCTTCTGGGGGAAGGAATGGTACCTAGTATAATAGGTAGACACTGAATTTAGAGCTTTTTTTAATCTGTGGAAAGATACTGATTATGAAAAAGCTTGAAACTAAGGGTAGCACTCAGTAACTAAAGGGGGAATCATCACAATTGAAACAGTGCTACTGGAAGCACCCTTCTTACTGCACTTATTTCTGGGTTTTTTTGGTTCTCTGTCAGCACTAGGTGACTTGTGCTGGCAAAGATCTAAGTTGAGAAAGGCGTATAAATATTTCTAGACCTTCTTGTCCTCACTAGCTGGGTCAGCTCACTAGATTGGCTTAGAAGTATACTGTCTATAACCTTCAGTTTACAGAAGTTGCATCTTTATTCAGTCTGTCTTCAAATCAAGATTGACTTGATATAAATCCTTCTTCTATGGCGAGTGTTTGGGAGTGTTTGGTTATCTGCTACAGTAAGTTAGCAGCTCAAATCTATTGATTGTTTTATCATGCCTTGATTTTGTCCGCTGTGTTATTCCATCTTTAGCTGAAAAATTCTAAAATCATTAATTCATCTGTTAAGCGTATCAACTGTTGCTTACCCTTTAGATAAAGCACGGTAATGGTACACATAGACCTAACTTACTCTGGCCAATTGCAGCGTGGTGTATGAATTTGGGGTATGCTGGTAACCTCAGATAAGACAAACAGTTTTGCTTCCAAGGTAATATGGTTATTTCTCTTGAGCCTGGAGAATAGTAAATGCTCAGATATGCCTTAGTTTTCTAAGAAATTCTAGGATAAACAATTGTATGGATCTTTCCAGCAATAGCCAATGAAAGCCTTCTCTGTAAATAGTATACTACAAAATTACAGTATTTTGTGATGTTGGTCTTCGTTCATGTTTTTATTTCAGAGATCTCATTCAGAGTTTGGCAATGTGGTGGGAGCCTAGAAATCATCCCTTGCAGCAGAGTGGGTCATGTATTCCGCAAACAGCATCCTTACACGTTTCCTGGTGGGAGTGGTACCGTATTTGCAAGGTAACTGTTAAGTCAAGTCTTTGGTTAAATAGCAATGTTTTGGATTTCTTCAGATGATCAGCAGGTGGCAGTAATTTCATTTTAAGGATCTCCTCTTTAGAAATATTTGCAATATTATCTAGCATGGAAAAATATTAATTGAAAGGAAATTAATGACTTGGAGGCAACTACACAAATTGAGAGAAGAACCTGAGAGCTGAAAAAGGGAAAGATCTAGCAGACATAGCCTGAGAATCTGGAAAAGGAGGAAATGCTTACCTTGGCATTCTATCAATCATTCTATCAATTTTGAGAAGTTTCTGTTTATTTGGTTTTAAAGAAGGCCTTATTTTCAGAACTCTCACACAAATCCTCATTTTGTAGCAACAGTTTCATCATCCACTAAAAGCCAGAATACACTTAAGTTATTCATAAGCTTTGCTTGCTTGGTATGTGATTGGTACATGATTGATACATGATTGGTATGTGATATGCAAATGATTATGTAGACTGATTCTGGTATTTGTGCTAGTCTGGCAACTGAGCTATTTCCTCAGTTTCTCCTCTCTAGAATGAGAATAGCAATTCTGATTCATGTTCAGTGTGTTTTGGAAGTAATATGGATAAAGGTATTGCATGAGTGTATGGTAGATGTTTTGACTAAGCCTCTATCAGTTGTAGCTGAAGAATCACTGTGGGTTTTGGCTTGGAGAATTGGACTTGATGCTCAGGGGGCTGGAGAAGTACAAGTCTCAGCTGAAGGTTTGGTGGGTTAAGAGCTGCAAATTATTTATTTATCCTTGGAGGGATATGGAGCCCAAACTCTGTTTAACTTGAAGCAACATAGCATATACGTACTTAAATTCGTAAGAATGTTCTAAGCTGCTGATACATTTGGACTTGGGGTGTAATTTTTCTCTTCCATGCTGGTTATGCCACCAAGATGAGGCTAATGAATTTAATATTAAGTCTTCTAACATACAGTCACAGTCCTATTTCTTCCAGTAGTTCTAGTAGTGATTTTTCTGTTCCTCTGTTCTTTGAGATCTGTATTTTATTCTACAGTGAAAAATGAGTACTAGTACCTATGGGAAAACAAATGCTAGCAATGAAATACATCACATCTCTATTCCAGTATTTATGGTGTGCAGCAGGAGGGTAGAAGGATCTACCAATTAAACTGTATTATGTAGGCTTGAGATGCAATGGTTTTAGTTTTGTGGTAGGTTTTAGAACGACAATGTCATGACAAGGAACGTGGTTAATAAAAATAAATAAATTGTGCAGTTTTCCCACTCCTCTGCAGGTCTTCCATCTTTGGGCTGTTGCCAAGGTGCTGCTTTTCTTGTGATGTTAAGTCGGTACTTAAACATAGCTCAGTTAAAGAGTAGGAAAAGAGTGTGGCTGTATGCATGCAAGGATACAACGTATGTTAGAAATGCATCGTATTAGCAGGGATTGAAGATTCTGCACTTGTGGTGGAATTAAAGCTTTTGGACTTTGTTGTGAAGTCAAATCATCATTGTGATTTGACCAGTCAAATGTCCCGACAATTACTATGACAGATCTTTTTTTTTTTTTTGAAGTTGCATTGTGTTTTCCAGTCATTTATTGTCAAAATTACTTTTAAAAAGATCCCACATCTACTTGAATTGTAAGGGCAGGTGAAGCCTGCAAACTAGTGTCTTGGGTACTTACAGCCCTTTCCAGATCTACCTTTCTCTTTAAGTGGCTCATTACCTTTGTCCTTTGCTGCCCAGCTGTCTCAACTTCTGCGATGTCTTTAAAATTCTTTGTTTCACTGGAATTATTCTTGAATTGACCTAGAAAAGTTGTGTATCACTTAAAAGCAGGGTTGACAAGTTGCTGTATATTTGAAGGTTTCCTCCTCAGTCAGCTTTCTTGGGTGTCAAACCAATATAACAATCCCTTAAAATCAATTTTAGCAATGAGAGAATGAGAAACCGAAGGTAATGGTATACCCTGGTAGTACAGGTATTATCTGGTATGTGTAGGACCATGGTGCCAAGAAACGATGCATGGAATCTGTGCTGGTCTCGCAGTCGGGACTTGTTAACTTATGCCATCATCTGTCCCTTGACTGTATGCAATTTGTTCCGGAGTGCTCTGGGTAAGCAGCCCATTTTTAGCTGAGTAGTCAGTAAGCACTGCCTTTTGCCAGCCAAAACAAATTGGTGATTCTGGATGAGGGACTAGGAGTACTGTTTCATGAGAGAGGAGACCACATCCTGGCTGTGTGGTGTGGGCAGATACAGCTTGTGCCTGGCAGGATTTGTTAGACCAGTATGCACTGCCTTAATACGCCGCTTCAGATGAGCCAGTAAACCTTGCAGACCCCAGGCTGCTCCATGCAAAGCTGCCTCTGATTGCTCAGTGCTATGCTTCATTAACTGTGGCTCAGCATTAAGCGCTGAGTGCACCCTACGCTGTGTTCCTCAGTACCCTACCTTCTTTAGGGCCTTACTAGTTTAGGCAGTTCTCAGCATCTACACAGCTTCTGCGTTCATGTCGCGCTAGGCCAGAATTGTTCATCGTGAGCATGGGGAAGTGTGATGCAAGCATGCGTTCTGGCCTCGACGGTGCCTTTGGAGTCGTCGAACCCTGGCAAACCGAAGAGTTCCTCTCCCACCACCAAAATCTGTTTGGCCTGTGGGCAGCCAAGCTGATTGCTGAGCAAGTAACAGGGGCAGGTGCCGAGTGGCTGGCTGACACTCACAGAAGCCTGAGAGACTGCAAGTGAAGATAAATTGAAATAGCTCTCTAATCTATGTTGAATGGGATTTTGCTTACAAAAAAATTTAAAGGAATCTTTGCACGGAGAAATCAGTCCTCAAAGAAAAAAATGATTGAGGTCTGTCTTGTGGCTTTTTTTCTTCCCTGTGTCTGTCCTTCCTCAGTGACCTGCAAGAAGAGCTCACTTTATCCTGACTATTTTTTGTCTTTTGAATTGGAAAATCATATTAGAGAAGTTATTGGCTGACTGAGTTTACTCCAGTTGCTTTAGATGTATGTAAATGTAAAATAAGCTTCAGAGCATGGCAGTTGCAAGTGAAATAAGACTTCATTTTCTAAGCATAAAATTACAAACAATAGAAGTAAATGAGTTTTACATGGAAGCCAGGGGATGGAAAAAGGCATTACCCTCTTGCAGTCCAAAAGGAGATTTAAAGACACCAGTTACACAGAGACAGGAATGATAGTTAGAAATTTGTTTGATTAGAAATAAAGAATTTGGGTTAGTGTGTTTCACATTTATTGCAATAATTAATCTCTCTTGAATTTTAAAGCATTAAAAATATTTTCTAATTACTGGTTCTCCTTTGTTACCTCAGCTACAGCAGACTTGCTTGGTTCATAGCCTTAAATGTCACGGCAGCTTATGTCATTTTGGAACTTTGAGTGCTCTGCTGGTAGGAATAGGATGAAGACTGAAAATATGTTTTGCCTATGTTAGCATGTCTGTTTTCAGAAAGGTAAAGACATTATTAAAATTGCCAATTGTTGAGATTTTTGTTTCCCATTAGCTTGCTTATCCAGGTGAACACTCACTGATTTTTGGCTTTTGTCAAGTTACTCTTATAAAAAAGAAAAAAACCAAAACAACCTAACAACTTCCATGAAATTTGCAGAAAGACCTTCAAGATGTGTATTAAATTCTGGATGAAAACCTGAAGCAGTGATGAGTGCAGAAAAGACATAAATTTCATTCTAAATGCATTGATCTCAGTTATATTACTCTCTAATGGTTTTTTATTACCTAGGTCTTTAACAGGGAATCTTCTGCCTGGCTTCAGGCAACTGACTATGTAGTACTAGGGAGGATTAAAATCAACCCAAGGATAAATGACATGATTTAATTGCAGCTAGAGAGAATATAACCTATGTGTTTCATATGATTGTCCCTAGAAATACACGCAGGGCAGCAGAAGTCTGGATGGATGAGTATAAAAATTTCTATTACGCAGCAGTGCCTTCAGCCAGGAATGTACCTTATGGCAAGTAAGTCACAAGTGCTTCTTTGCCCTGTTCATTTATTCTTCATGAGATGGCACCTTCTGAAGTGAAAGAAGTGCTAGCTCTCATGTGTTATCTCTTTAAGATACAGTTCTATAGTTCTTGAGTTTTCTGTGGATTCCTTACTGTATATGAAGACAGCAGCCTGACTTTGAAACCTGCTCCTTTTTTTTTCCCTCTAGTATTCAAAGCCGAATGGAACTCAGAAAGAGACTTAGCTGCAAACCCTTCAAGTGGTATCTTGAAAATGTTTATCCTGAGTTGCGGTGAGTTTTGACCGAATCAGAAAATATAGTATGGAGTTGGGGTTTTTTTTTCCCTTCCCCAGAAATCATCAGTTTCTCCTTCTCCTTCCTTGGATGTAAAGGATGTTTTTAATTTATTTGTGAAAGTAATGCCTTGTGCAGACTTATGTGCAGCTCATTCCTACAGAGCCATTTTTTCCTAGTAAGCTGGTTTTTCTTTTTCCACTTTCTGCAACTACAGCTGCAGTAGCAGGTATTTTAGAGAACAGTGTCCAAAGGACTCCTTATCTGAGCCTGAAGTTTAGTCTTGTACGCAAGCCATTTGTTCAAAAGTGCACGGTTCTGTGTCCTGTTGTCATCCTCTTAACGCTTTTGCCTTCGCGTAGGCACGTGCCTAGTGGAGCGAGGTGACTGCATCTCAGTGTGGTACAAGGAGCAGGAGTCAGCAGACAAGAAGGCCTTGTATGTTTGGCAGACAAGGGTAGATGCCTAAGACTCTTAAGAAGCTGAGTCTTCTGCTCTTTCTGGCTCTTGTTCTCTGTCACTAGATAATCACTAACTTTTGTTGGGGGATGAAAAGGGGGAAATGAGGGGTTAGCAATTAGAAATTGCTAACAGTTTCTGTAATGTGAATGCATCCCAAGTAATGGAAAATCCTCAGAGAAACACTTTTTGAAAGTATAAAAAAAGGTTCTGTTCAATAACCTGTTAATGTCTGTCAGATCTGAGTCTATAAACTAGTTTGTCTGCTGTCAACCTAATATTAGTAGTGTAATGGTAAGATATGGTGCGTGGCTTATAAGAATACTTGTTTTTTTTCCTGGGGGCACTTCATGTCAGTCGAGTCAGGTAACTGCTAGTGGCATACAGGCTTGGAATGCAAAAGCACCAGCCATTACAGCCCTAGTGAAACATGTACAGAACCACACATATTAAAGGGTCTCATAAACCAGGATGATGCTGAGGAAGTAAGTTATTCTTTATTTTCTCTTAAAAGTGCCAGACAGTATTTATTTTTGTTTAATTTGTCAGAAAAAATACATCTTGCAAGCTCTCCTGGAATATGTGCTACCATAAGCATTACTTAAGTGTAATGTCATCTTAGTCTGTGTCATCTCTCATGTGCTCCTTCTCTGGGTTGAATTATTATGCTCATATTATAGTCTGAAGTTTTAAAAGAGGCTAATATGCCCTTGCTTTACTGTTTGAACTCATGGCCTCTACCCCACAACTGTACTTTGTTGAATGGGTTTGCCTAGGTATTTCTGTACTGTATGAGTGCACTTTATGTGCAACCGTTAGAAAATAAATACCAGCAAAACACTGATTTTTTTAATTCCTAACCCCTTTTCTGACACTTCAGTAAAAGTCTGGGGAAAATGTAGAATGTCATATTTCTGCCACAAGCTAGCTTGGCTGAAAAAACAAGAGGGCTTGATGACCTTAACTGATACCATTAAGCTTGAGTGACTTTAAATAAGTCATCTTTAATTTGTTGTTTATATGTTCATCCTCATTCACCGGTGCAAGTCTTTTTGTATTCTGTCCAAAGCTTGCAAGTTTACTTGTGTTTGATCAGTTCATGATCAGATAATTGCCTTCCCTCCTCAGAAAATGATTGAGATTTCCAGATAGTAGTCGTCACTCATCTTTAACCTGTCATCTTAAAAATACTTCAAGTAAAGAGAAGGAGTTTAAAAAAAAAATTAAAGAAATGGAATTGTAAAGAAATTGAATTAAACAGATATTTCTGGGTTTATTCTAGGGTACCTGATCATCAAGATATAGCTTTTGGAGCTTTGCAGCAGGGTACCAATTGCCTTGACACTTTGGGCCATTTTGCAGATGGTGTTGTTGGAGTTTATGAATGTCACAATGCCGGGGGAAACCAGGTCTGTATGCCATTATTTTTTTCCACAGTATGTGATGTTAAAAAAAAAAAAAAGGAAACTTTTAAATTCAAGCAGGTACTGTTTACTGGTGATAGGAAGATTAACCCAAATCAGTAGATCAGTTGTTATAACAGATTGGCTAAATAACTTCTTCCTCAAACATAATTTTGCATTTATAGGATTAGAATCTGAGCCCAGAGATTCATTCAGTGTACATCAGATTATCCCCTTCCTTTGTCTGTATTAATACTTACTTTTACACTAGAGGCCAGTAACTTCCTTCCCAGGAGTTTTATACTTGTATAGAAAGCTTTTTTTCCATGAAATGGTGTGTTTGATTTTTTTTTTGGGGGGGGGGATGGGGGGTGGTTGCTTAAGAAAATATTTGAGTTGTATTAAGCATATGGCCTAAGGTCAGCAAAACAGAAGAATGCTTTACTGTGGTGCCCTAGTAGTCGTTTCCAATTTGCAGTGGTGGGGTATAAAAAAAACCCCAAATCTGTCTTAAATACCTGTTTGGCTCTACTACAAAACAGAGATGCCTAAATGTCATATCCTATTCACTCACAGTAAAGGGAGCGCTTCAACAAATCCTTTCTAATCCTACTCTTAAACTAATTGCAAGTGTGTCAAATCTGTAAATGAGAGCATTAATTATTTCAAAGAATCTATGCAGTTGTGACTTGGTTATTGTTCACAAAATACATGCATACATGCTCACTGTTTTGTGTGCTGCTTTGTCACTAAATTCTTTTCAGAATCAACCTGACTATAAATCAAATGTAAGATTAATACTTCAAGTACATCTGTTAAAATAGAAGGCTGACAATTGCATATCTACTGTTGAATGAATATCAGAGTCTTGCTTGCTCCGATTTAAATTAGAAGGGGAAAGCCCTAAAACCAGATGAAGCCTAAAATGAAGAAGTTATTTCCTGGAAGATGTATTACGTTGATTTGAATGCATTGCCGTCATACACCTGAGAGATGCCTCTTTTCCCTATCATTAAAGAGAATATATCTGGGGGAGGCCTTTTCTATTACTTTTATGAAAGTACACTCATCTTTTCAGAACACCACAGTGTCTTTTAGGAGAAAGGGCGGATGTCAGAATTGCCTTGGTGCAGAAATGTTGGAAGTTTCTGGTGACGTTGTGTATTCTCTATAGATACACAAAGTTATCTTCCTCTTTCAAACTCCCCTCCCCTGAACCTGACCCTTTTTTCTGTGTAGTTGCTTCTGTGAAGCTGACCTTCAACAAACAAATGACCTTTGACAAACAAATGCATACTTGCTCTGAACAGGTCCCTGTGAGAGGACATTCAGACAGATGAAGAGGCAGAACAGGTCAAAAGCAGGTTTTATGTCCAAGCAGAATTTGTATTGGATCGGAGGGAATGAACAACATGGGAGAAGAGGGATAGGGAACAAACTAGAGTCTTTACTAAATCTGTACTATGTGCTTTGCACCTATTATTCTTATAAGGGTTGGGGAGGTGGGTGGGTGGTGGGATTAAGAGTAGTCAGATATTAAAGGCTGTGGAGACCTTCTCCTGTTATTAGAAGTTTACGCTCTGGCTTATGCTCACCACAACATGCAAAATTTAAGTAAAAATGGAATTTCTGTCCTCCCCCTGCCTCCCTCCAACAGGTTGGTAGAATTCAGTGATTCAAAAGGCAGATGTACACCTCTAAAGGGCCGAAGAAATTGTGGTGTATTTGACCATTATGTACAAATACTTAGGGTTACGATAAGGAGCTAAAGGTAAAGCCAAATGCACTTTGGTGCAAGGGAAAGGTTTCAGGTTAGTGGTGTTCTACTAATTCTCTATTTCTGATTTATGACACAGGTTTTTTCAGATGTCCTGATTTTCAAATTGTTATGTAGAGCTATCCTATTTCCAGCCTATGCGCTGAGCATGTACACTGCTTGCAACTTTTCTTCTCTTCTGGTGTAGTTGAACTTACTTAGTCTTATCTCCATTATAGCTAGTCATAGTTTCTGGTCACTGGAGAAAAGCATCTATACGTTGTGTTTCATACTGTGAAGGGCCATCACGTAGATGTCTCAAGCAGCAGAGCTTGGAGCTTCTGTGAAGCAGTGCCTTTGGCTTTTTAATGTGTTAATTCCTTGTGTGATTTCTGTTGTGTCTGGGGTTCTTGCAGTCTTTTGATGGAAGAGTGAGGATGTATAAAGCAGTATTTTCAAGGCTCTAACTTTCTCTGACTGCAGGGTTCTCAAACACAAGTTTTACCACTTCCCTGGTAGTATTTTCAACTGTCACTATTCAGTATAAAACTTAAGGGGGCCATCTGTTTCAGGGCATTTGTGATTCCTCATAAGCTCTGAAAATAACTTGCTTAATTCTTTAAGTTCTTAAAAATGGCTATTAATGATTCTTGTTAACATGTCACAAACTAGACAGAACTGAGAAGGCAAATAATTTTGCTGTCAACTGAGGTTAACATATTGAGAGTGAAAGGAAAAGTTTTCAGTTTAAGGGTTTGGGAGACAAAGGCATACACAGAGTTCTCCTGCCTTTGTTTTGCATAGTTGTTGCTATGCTAGTACTTGCATAATATGGTACCCATCTAATGGCTTGCTACCTGTACGATGGCGATTACTTGTAATCATGTGGGTTAGAAGTTCTGATTGTTTCCTGAGCATCTGTTCTCAAGGGAATTTAATCATTGTTAAATCTGCTGAGTTTAAAAGTGATTATGCAAGCCAAAAATTGAGTTATGGTATCAGAAAAAAAGTAAGGAAAATGAGATGGGATTAGTAATTTAATTTCTTTCTGAAACACTGATTGCTTGCAAAATAACATTTAAATGTAGCCAGGCTTGGCCTGTGTATCTAGGGCTTTGTATTATACAACTCTGAATCCTCTTTAGTTGCTGGAGAAAAACTAATTGTGGCATTTTAAGTAGCGACAAGCATGATTTGGATAATCAGCGTGGCTTTAGTTGATAGATCAGCTTCCTTCCTCAAAGGGTAATTGGACAAATTAAGACCAATCTGGATCCTGGAGACCAAACTTTGGGGAGAAAGACATGGAGAGAATCTGAACATCAGCACAAGGTCAGGCTCTGAATAGGATGCTGAGATCAAACAAGCTGGGCGACGGTACATACAGAATGGCTTTTGTTTGCTCTGAGTTGCATGTTTAAATGCATTTAGAGGAAATTCTCCCTCTACCCTTGAGTTTGGCCCTCTTGTGTATTGCTTTCTGGTGATCTCTATCATATGAAGAACTACTCTTTCCTCACTGTGGTACATGTGCTTTTGTTTAGTGTGTGGGTAGGCTGGCCAGCGATGCTGCAGACCAAACTTTTAGGGGTTTATATATATGTACTATAGTTCTTACATGTATAGAATTTCTCCTACATAGAAGATATGGGGGGTATCTAATACACAGAGAGAGAGAGAGAGAAAAAAAATGTAGCTGGGCACGTATTTGGACACATATTTTAACCCTGAGGACCTGTGTGACTGCCCGCTGTACTTGTGTAAAGCCAGCAGAGGGAGCAAACAGCCAGCCCAGCCCTGAGCTGACTTGGGGATACTGAAACAATTGGAATTACTATGTTTGAAAAGGACTTTTTTCCCCCTCCTGCTTTATGGGAAGCAAGGAACTGCTCTAATGCTCATACGTAGCTATTTACAGGATTTTAACCTGTGCTGTATATGCAGAGATAGCACGCACACCTTCTGCATATGTTAGTATACACAATTTTGTACACTTTCTTCTTTTTTCTAGGAATGGGCCTTAACAAAGGACAAGTCGGTGAAACACATGGATTTGTGCCTTACTGTTGTGGACAGAGCACCTGGTTCGCTAATTAAACTTCAGGGCTGTAGGGAAAATGACAGCAGACAGGTTAGTATGTCATGAATGCGCTTTGCAAACAGTGGGGACAACAATGGTTGTGAATGAGAACACAAGAACGTGCACTGGTAATCATATCTGCTGTCCATTCTGCTCTTCAGTCTGTGTCTCGGTCGTTTGTGGGTGCGTGACATCTGGGCAGAGCAGCAGGAGCAAGCTCGTGTACTGAGCTTTTCTTTTTGTAGGCCAGTGACAGTATTTTTTAAACATGTAGAGGTTTTATCCCAACAGTGGCCTTATGTAAAGGTTTCACCCAACAGCATTGATGGTCTTCAACTACCATGTCTGTTTTCTGAAATAGAATATGTAGTCCACAATGTATTTTTGAAAGGCCTTATTCAGTGAAGTTTCAAGATTATGTAGTCTATGCCTCCGAAGAGTATGGTTTGGCTTTCCTTTCTTCTTTTCAGCTGTGACCTATTTATAACACCACTAGACTCCTTCAATTCATTTTTATTAATGCGACATTGTAACTCCATCTATTTGTCATGCCTGAGGAAAATCACATTTGCAGAGTCATGCCATCTTTTTGATCTAGTCGTATAACAGTTCATCTCTTTCTGCGAAGTCATCAGTTCTGACTGTCTGCCAGCTTCCTTGCTTCTGTATCTCAATTTTTGCAGATAGATGAAATGCTGTTCCTTGATGAAGGAAGAATATTCTTGGCACTTTTCAGAAAAGGAAACTAAGCAAGCAAGATTTTCTTTATAAGTTTTAAAGGCACAACACTTTAGAAATACAAAAGAAAACTTTTTTTTTAACATACTGTATTTGGGATTTACTCTATCCTTGGCATCACCTTGGGCAAAGAGCTTCTGCCAGCACAGATTGACTGGTTGTCTTCTGTATAATTGAAAGGTGCCTGACAGATTTCTGTATTTCTGTAAAGCTCTTTAGTGATTGTGCTCCTTGTTTCTCTATGTTCAATATTGTAGTGTTATGTAGATGGGCTTTGTGATTTTTGGTTTGTTTGGGGCTTTGTGATTTTTGGTTTGTTTGGGGTTTTTTTCCTTCAGACTGAAGGTTTCACACCTTCAGGTAACATGGTGTGACAGTGCATTTGAGAAGTGCTGAAGTAGAGGAAAATGCTTTGGTGTATTCTGTATCTATTGCAGTGCATTAGCTGAATGAATGAATGGTTGTTTTGGCAAGGCTTGCCTTAACTTTATATACTCTTATTCAAGGTTCATCTAAACTGCGTACTATTATTGTAGTTTTGCCAGCTTTCCCAAGCACAAGCCAGGGAAGCTTCTGAAGACTCCAAAGGACAGGATGTAGGACTCATCCTTTTCTTGCTTTTCCAGCTCAATAACTGTATTTTCTCTTCCAGAAATGGGAACAAATTGAAAGCAATTCTAAACTGAGGCACGTTGGCAGCAACCTCTGTCTAGACAGCCGAAATGCCAAAAATGGTGGTCTCACCGTCGAGATCTGCAGTCCTTCTTTGTCACAACAGTGGAAATTCACACTTAATCTGCAGCAGTAGAAGGACTCGCAAGCAAAATGCTGTTTCGATTCATAGACGTTGGGCAAAGTTTTGATTGAATTACTGATGTATTTCTTAAAACTTTCCACGGAACTTATATACCTCAGTATTCCATCTTTATCTGAAAGTAGGAGAGTGCTGAAGCAGACACCAGGGATCCAGGGGACTTGGAGCACTGCAAAGATGTCACTGAACATGGCTGCGGCACAATTCCTTCTAGGAGTGAAGACTTCAATGGTTCCTTTCTGTCTTCAGTTATGTACTTGCACAGCAGATAACTAACTCTAGGAACAACTGATGTATGATAAAAAAAAGGATCTGAAGAAACACCTGTGGGGAACAGGGTGTGGGAGGGAGGGTGGGAAAAATTACTAGGAGAAGGTCATTTGCAAACTCCACTTGCATAGAAATCATGGTTTGTCGTTTCCAGAAACAGAAGTGTCATTTTGAAGGTTTTTTTCCTCCTGTGTGTACTTGGTAATTTGAATATGAACTTTTATATGATGGACTCTAAATATAAATATATAAAAGTATATATATATTGTCAACTCCCAACGATTTGTATCAGTTTTCATCATCCTATAATTATCAACGAAGTGATTGACACGTATTACCAGAAATGGGATTGGAATGCTAGGAAAGTGAAACTTTACGAAGGTGCGCATTTTGTGCTGCTGAGTATGATGTCCGTGCTAACACTGGATGCTTTTGCTTTGCAAACTGGATCTACTTCTTAACACCTCGCCCTCACTGGAGATCATGAAACTCAGGAGGAGAAAGTAAATAAGCCAATGCATCTGCACAGATGATTGCTCGGATTGTTTATTCCAGCTTGGAAATTCGTTACATGTGCTCTGGATAACGTTAAACTTGTACTTGATATTTGTGTTGATCATTTCTGTAGTACTTTGTCTTTAAAATACTTCTTCCTTTGTTACAAAATTACATAAACAGTGCAGATCTTTCATGCAGCCGTGTGGGTTCAGCACAGTTTTATTCTGGGCCCTAATGAGAAAAATTTCTTTGTCTCAAACTCCCCTTTTGTGTTGTAGAAATGAGATAGAATAGTAACGTCACTGTCAACAACACAAGATCTGAATTTTAATTTGCAAGGATGAGCAGCTATGTAATATCTCTGAATTGCACTTGCTTAATTTATAGACCTACTACTGGGGAATTTTCTTCTGTTTTATTTCTTTAAATGGAGCTTTTGAATGGATTCAGGCTCGGCTCTGCGAATCGGCCTGGATACCCTGGAGACCCTATGTGTTTTTAACCATAGAACCCATGCATTTTGCAGCTTCAGTCCAGCTGATGTCATTTTTATATTAAAATAATACTGTCAAAGTTAACCCCAACTTTGACCTGTCCTTTCTTATGTTTGCATAGACTATATACTTTTTTAATTAAAAGCAAATGCTTCAATGAGCTTTTAAAATGAAAAGGAACGGTAAATGAGTACTAATAAGCAAGACAGCGTTGACAAAAATGAGTGCAGACACACAGTGCCAGGAGGTGGGTCTGGTAAGATGATGGATCTCAGAAAAATGTAAGGGTTGATCAAAAGGAGATGAAAAACATCTGCTGTACTGTAGTGTGCTGGTACAGTTCCCCTCTTTCTTTGTTCCTGGGAGTAGTTCCCAGTTTTTGTTTCTTTTGGCTGCATTTATACATTAGGTGTAGAGGTGGGTGGTACTCTTCTGGGCAAAATGGCTTTAACTGTGCCAGTCCCTAAATACCTTTTGTGTGTCTGGAGTTACAGTTTGCACGTACCTGCAGACCTTTTGGATGGGGGCATTAAAGCCAGTTTCTCCCATCCGTCGTCTGATTTTTTTTTAAATGAATAATTAGTACTTTTTCCCTTCTTCACAGTCCACTTTCTCCAAAACTTGCCTGTTTTAGAGGCCATACAGTGGATAAACTATTTTTCAACTTTTAGTCTCTCCCTATCTGTAGCCTTTTAACCTAGCTGAGAACTTGAACGTGATTCATAAACATAGCAGTAGATTTCTTCATATTCTGGAAAATAAATGCTGAAAATACGGGCTCAGCAACAAATCAATTGTTCGAGGTTTTGAAAAACAGAATTTCAAAGGAAAAAACCCAACCACACAGCTTCTGCTGCGGAGGTATTTCCATTTGCAACTTTGATCATAGTGAGGGTAGTGCTAACTGAAATCAGCAGTTGCAGCTCTGAATATTGACCTGCCTCTCAACTCTGAATCAAAATTGCTAGTAAAAAAATCCATATTCCACCTCTTAAGTCTTCAATGTCAACTGCTATCATATAAAGTAGGAATATTTTCACTGATTCCCCATGGATGCTGTGCATAGGAGTTTTAATATAGGAGCTGTATGTTAAAGACAGCATGTCTGTTCTCTCAAAGAAAAGCAAAGAAGTGGTATCCTTTTGTTATGTTTACATGACAGTGTGCCAAAGTTACTTACTGTGATTTTAGGGGTTTTTAATGTTGAAGAAATTTGCCCATTTGAAAGATAAATTAAGAGCCCTTGAAGCAAATTGCGATGGAGTCTCCTGAGAACTTTTCTTACCGTCTTCAGAGCAAGAATGGTGATATTGTTTGTTTTGCAGATTTTCAAAACATAGTTTGGAGACTGTTTTTTCAGTTGGTTTGAAAAGTCTGCTGTACAGAGCTTGTACTTTGTTCATTTTATAGATGGAAACCATCCTTGAAAAATTGTTTAACTTAAATAAAGAAGAATGCTTTATAGATAAATGTGTGGTGTTTAATATAACTGAGTAAAACAAAGAAGTCTGCCTGCAGCTTGTAGGTTGAAATAGTTTTCAAATGCTTCAGTTCACTTAGTTGTTTCATAAAGCTCCTCTTCTAAAAGGCTGTATATGTGCGTGTATGTTTGCATTTATGAAAAGAGAATTTGTATTTAAATTAGTATGATAACTTTGAGGAAATTATCTTTTTGTGGAAGCTGCTTTACACTGAGCAGTGAGTTAACATTGACTGTTGCCATCTGAAAATACACTGTTAAGCTACTGCCCCCCCTGCCCCATTAGACCTAATCTTCCCTTCTGCTGTCCCTTGCCTTGCCTGATGAATTCTGATGTCCATGGTGCACTCAGATCTAGATCTTAAATACTCCATAGTTAAAACAAAAAATAGATGAGACTTTTTTTTTTTAAAGGAAGGTATTTGGGAGGACAAACACTTCACAAGTCTGGTTTAGAGAGCTTGCAAATGAGCTTGCACTGGCACAGCTGGGGAGGGAGCGAATCCTCTGTGGTAGGTGATGGCAGCTGGGCAAGTGTGGGGTTCTCCTGCTGCTGTATGAGTAAGCGGGGTGCAGGCAGGGCATGCTGCTGCAGCACAGCAGCACCTTGGCACAGCTGGGCTGCAAGCCGAACGGGGAGGGATGGCATCATGCTCCCCGGGAGGGTAAATGGGAAGCGGGAGAATGGATGAGGTAAAAAAAAAATCTCATCTGTGATGTTTTGTCCAGCTTCAGAGACGCCTTAACTCAGTTCTTGGGGCACATCCTTCTTTCCCACTCTGTGGCATACAGGAGTGGGATCTTTGCTCCTGGTCTAAGGACCAGGCTTTACAGTCAGGCCCAAGGAGATGAAGAGCTAGCGTAACCTGCGAGAAGCATTTATAGGAAAGCTGTAAACACTTCTACTCCTTTCATTGTCCTGACAGGAAGATTTTTACTTATCAGGCTGTAGGCAAGGAGAGTTCTTCGGTACCAACTTACTCTCCCTGTGTGCCACAAGTCAGTGACTAGTTGGCACCTTTCAAAAAGTCTAAATTAGATGAAGCAAATAGATCTTTAATATTTATGGTTGTCCAAAGTAAAAAGGCCCTGTGAAACTGCAGTAAACAGAAGAAACAACCTTGCATTTGCAGATTATATCTGAGAACTCAGATGAGGATTCTCCATTTGAAATGCCCTTTGCCACCTGTGAGCTGACAGGTAATACTCAAAGATAAGTACAACAGGCATCTGGCAGTAGAAACTTTTCATCTAATCCAATGTTAAATGTAGAAGTCTGTCTCATGCCTCTGCCGTGTGTCTTACATGTTTCTTGTGTGTGCTGTTCTCAGCAAACTTCTGAGTGTATCAGGACTGAATCACCTGTCCAGCAAATTCTGCATTACTTCTGACCAGAACTCCGTTCTTTCCTTTGCCTTATACCCAATTGTGTGTGTATATATATTTGAAAATAGTTTCCCATTCAGTGTAATTCATTTTTCTGGAATTTTAGGTTTTAGCCTAAACTAAACTAACTGAACTTTTTAGCCAGTTCTGATACCTGAGTTTACTCTGCTTGCTTATCACTGTGCATAAAACCAGATATACCCCTTTTATAAGGGAACATTTAATCTTTCCTCTCTGTGGATTAACAAAAACATATTTTAAACCCTGAATTTTCAAGATGCCGCCTGTGTGCATTTGGAAAGGAAGCTGAATATTGGGAGAGATTAAAAGGCCGTAATGTGCTGGAGGCAAGGACTGTTGTCTTGTTTAAGGTGGGTCCCATAGAGCATTGTCCAGTTCCTGTCTGGGATGTCACTGCCATAAGCTCACTTGTTTTAAAATGTTATATTTTTTTGTATACAAGTACCACTTTGCCTTAGATGTATATTAAATGTAGATACTCTACAAAATTTCTGTGGTCCTGAGTTGGTGCATGCATCACCTGTGTCCTCATTCAGCCTGAAGCACAATGAATAATTTCACAGTGATAACTTGTTATAGAATGCTCTAGCAAGAGGCTTGTTCCTGTACAGAATGATTTCAAATGAATAGAAACCACTGACAAAAAAATAGCCTGGGATAATAAGCCATGATTACAGAATGAGCACAAATGTCAGGGTTGCATCTTTTGTTAAACTGCACATTTTATTTACAGCTTAACATCCAGTAGCTATTTTAAGATCTGCTAGTAATCAAGCTTAAAAATTGGGAATAAAGTCAGTCCACAGATGTTCTCCCTGTACAGCCCTCCAAGAGGTTGTCTGAATGGGTGCAAAATACCCTTTTGATTTGATTTGATTTCTTGCAGCACAGCAGCATGTTGTTGCTCTGTGTGCAGAAAGAGGGACCTTGATTTTAAGTTTCATTTCAAGTCCCTATTTCTACTCAGCAGATGTTTTTAATCCAAGGATTTTTTGTGGGGTTTTGTTTTGTTTTGTTTTTATTAAAAAGGATCTGGAAGTAGCAAATGGCTATGTTTTCTGCCATAGGTGTATTAATTAAACCTCACCTTTGGTAATCTGGGCATTGTGGTACAAAGAGGGTTAGAAAACAACTGCCGAGTGTCTGTTGTGCTCTGGTTGTATGGTGAGCACTGCTTCTGCAAAACGCTTTTCCCTCAACGTTTGTGCCACCTTTCTTCCTGTCCAGCAAGTTGTTTTTGCGGCGGCGATGAGGCCGATTCCTAGGTGGCAGCTCCGTGCTCAGCGGAGCCAGCCCGTTTCTCGCTGCTGATCCTGCCTCTTCTGCTCGCGCTGGTGCCCGCTCCATGAGACAATTGACAA